TGTATACCAGACTGCAGAAAGAACGTAGCCTTAGTAAAACCAAGAAGGTACAATATCCTGTGGTTCGCAGTGAAATCAGAACCTATTCGTTTGATGGCAATAGCACCCGTTGGGAACAAGACAATGTTTTCGTGAACAAAATTCCTGGGAAGGTCATTATAGGATTAATGAATTCCACCAATTACCATGGAAGTCTGCAACACTACCCCTTTGCCTATCAAAAGTTTGGGGTGACCCGAGTCCGACAGACGATTGACGGCGAAGAGTACCCGTACAGATCCCTGGAACTCACAGGCAATACCAAAGCAGAAGATTTGGTAGGGCATGACCGATTCCTTACTGCCTCTGGGGCCTACAAACATCATAAAATACCTATGATGCGGCCAGGGGATTGGGGACAAGGCAAAAATTGTACCCTGTTCATGTTCAACAATGTTTCAGGCGATGCCGATGACCCTGAGTACAGAAATCCCAGACTCACAGGCAATGTCCGCTATGAAATTGACTTCCGGGCAGCGGTGGGTCACAACATTACCGTGGTGATCTGGAGCGAGTATGAAAATATCTATGAAATAGACCAGTGGGGCGGAATTCTTTATTCTGTCAACAGCTAAGATGGAGTTCGTAGCTCTGAGTGATACGGTCCTGAACCACTTAGCCAGACAAGATCCTGACTTGAACAAAGTGTTTCGAGGGGTGTTTCCAGCGGACAAGTTACCACCCGTTCCCAAAACGAGAGTCTTGAGTGATGCTTACATTGTCAACACAGACCCCGAAGGTCAACCTGGGGAACATTGGTTAGCTATTTGGACGCGAAACCGAGTGTGTGAAGTCTTTGATAGTTATGGTTTGCCCTTATCCACTTACAAGAACCCACAGTTACAAGCTTGGTTCAAGAAATGGAAAGAAGTCATTACCAGTGATCATACCCTGCAAGCCATGGACAGTCAAACCTGTGGACATTATGCGCTCTTGTTTTTAAAAGCCAAAGCCAGGAATGAATCCTTTCAAGATTTTTTAGCGCAATGGAACTCGCAAAATTTAGTATTAAATGATCGTCGTGCGGGTGAAAAGATTCAACGTCTAATTACGACACAACTGTCTAGAAAAGAATTAAGCTGTAAACAATCCAATGTAAGCCGTTGCGCCTTTTGCTATTTTTATGATTTACAATAAATATGTGTACTCAACTCTGTGTCTTTCATTCTTGACCATGTTAACCCGTGGGGATGAGCAAAACGCCATAGAGGGATTGGCTTTTACGCAAGCCCATATCTATTTGTTGTATCTATGGTACTGTCATTGTCATTGGCCCTTGGGTACTTTACAAGACTGGGTGGAGATTATGACCCTTGCCAGATCTCATCAATGGTCTGCATTAAACACCTTTCTGTTGGACAAACCAGTCCTTAAAAAGGTGGTGTTTACTACCCTAGCCTTAGTCTCTCCCAGACTGTATCGTGTGTACTTTCAGCATGATTACACGTCAGGATTCCCGTCAAGTCTATGAGGCCTTTACCAAAGCCAAGGTACTGTATATGAGTCAACATCCCTAGGAGAATTTTGACCAAGACCAATGGGATGGGTCTCATCGGTTCAGTTGGCTCAACAACAAGCTTGGGAGGCCATGAAACACTATATTGAATGGATGGACGAAACCTATTTAAGAGAACACATGCAATTGATTGTTCAATTAGCTTCTCCGCGTTTGTATCATACACTATGGGGCGAAAACGACGCACTGTGAGGCGAACACGAGGCCAAAGTCAAAAAGGGGGCGCCCGATTTAAAAGAAAACCCCGTCTGGTCGATAAAATTGCCGAAGGCGTAGCCATGGGTTTATCGGGACCCTCTCCCAGTTTTGCTAAAATGGGTGCTTTTTTAGCCAAGCAAGCTTTCAAGGGTATAAAAGACAACGTCCGTCATTATCAGAGAGGCAAAGGACTTGGCACCGTCTTATCCACAGCCGCCAAAATTGGGTATAAATTGGGCAAGGACAAAGGCTATAAACGTATGGGTGCAGTGGGAGCGACTGGCCATTACACTCACTTTCGTAAACCGTGGGAAACATGATCCGTCAACCTGCTAGTGTAATTATTGCCGGCCCGTCTGGGTCTGGCAAGAGTGAATTGGTCGAAAACCTCTTGAAAGAGAAAAAACTGTTTTATCCCCCTCCCCAAAAGATGGTTCACTGTTACGATCGATGGCAAAAACGTTTTGATCGCATGAAAAAACACTCCAATGTTCACTTTTACAAAGGTCTTCCTCCTGAAGGAGCGTTAGTCAAATGGTTTAAACCTGAACATCATGGGATTCTCATTCTCGACGATCTGATGGAGGAATCGGGCAATGATAAACGCGTGTTGGATTTATTTACCAAAGATTCTCATCATCGTGGTATTACCGCCTTGTATCTAACCCAAGATCTCTTTCCTCCCGGCAAATTTGCCAAAACCATCAACCGCAACGCGCATTATGCTATTTGCTTCAAAAGTCCTCGTGACAAGACGGGCATCCGTAACTTGTTGCTGCAAGTGTATCCAGACAAATGGCGACGAGTGCTTCAATTATTTTTTAGGTTGACGGCTCGCCCCTTTGGTTATTTTATGTTGGATTTACATCCAGCCTCCGACGATCGTTTTCGCGTATGGAGTCATTTAACCCAACGTGAGGGGAAACCTCAGGTCCATACGTTTGACGAAGATATAAAAGGCGATTCATTAACCATGGCCAAAGGACGACAACGACGGAGAGGGTTGGCAAAAAAGCGCAAACCTGGGGTGGGAAGCCAACGTGGAGGGATAGCTCCCTTCCTAGCAGCAGCTATTCCTGCCTTAGTAGCTGGAGGGAAAGCGGCAGCCATGGGTGGACTCGGCGCTGCGGCCAATTTTGGGACCATGAAAGCTTTACATGCCTTATCCAAACAGAAGTATAAAAGGAAACGCAGACCCCAAAGGAGGACTAAAGCACGATGACGGGACGTATGACAAGACAAGGAGCCTTTTTAAAAGATGTCTTAAAGGAAGCCAACCAAAACAAACGTCAACAAAAACTTCGCTATGCCAATGCAGATCAAATTAATGCTGTGAGTGAATTAGTCATGAATACCTTGCGTGGGGTGATTCGTCCTGGCAGAAAAACCGTGCCCAAATTAAAACCCTACAGCAAAGAGCTTCGCCTAATTGCAAGTCCCCGTCAGAGTATAAAAAGAAGACGTCACCTCATGATTCATCAATTAGGCGCAGGTGTTTGGAGTGAGTTAAAACGTTGCTATCATTGTGCTAAGACCCGCTACCGCTATTAAGATGAAACAAGTTCTGTTCCAGCGACTGCTATGTGTGCTAGAAGGGTTGATGACGTTGGTCACCCTGTTGAAAAACCTTCACCAACGCATGAAAGAAAAATATCCCAAGAGGTGGGGGTCCAAAAACGTATAAGTATGCCCCTGGGACTTTGATGTTCATTCATTGCTGACCATGGACGGTATTAGTAGCACGCCCGTGGAAAACTCTGTTCAATTTTTACGGCTAAGGGATAAATACAAGTCAGACCTCTTAGATGATAGTCGTCTGACGAAAGCAGCGGGTTTAGCGGCCCAACAAGAACTGTTGCTAGAAAGTCCTGCCCCCGATTCCTGGAAAGAACCCCGTTTGAAATCCGTGAACCGACAGTTACGACAATGGACCACAAAAATTCGTCAGCCTGGGGGTGCACGCGCTATAGGGCGTGATGATGACGACACGTACGATGACGATGCCAATAATTTAGCGGTGGGTCCCGTGCAACAATTTATGAGTAATATTGCTAAGATTCAGAAGGGTATAAAAAGGAAAGCCACGACCCCTAACATACCACAAACAGCCGTGACACCGGCTATTAAACAGTCGCCCAAGACTCCGGAAAGCAGAAAAAAACCCAAGTATTCCTTTAAAACTGGATCGAAAGGAAAGCGTTTGTTACCGAAGACACCTAAAAGGAAAAAGTCTACTTCGTCTACCTTCAAGACCCCCGAAAAGTCTTTGGAAGAATTAGCCACAGAATTACCCTTTTCGGACCAGTTAGGCGAATCGCCTTGGAAAACACCGGGTGAATTAGCCAGAGACAGTCTCAGAGCCATAAGAAGACGTACACGCAAATCCCAGAGTGAGGAACGAAAAAAAGAAGGTTTAAAACAAACTGTGCTGAAAAAGGCCGCCGAAAAAGCTTTGAAAACGTTAGCCCCAGCCCCTGGCTGGAAACCCTTCGGTACTCCGACTAGACGCAAACTCGATGGCAAAGACTGGTAAACGGAAACGTTCAAGACCCCGTAGAAGGAGACAGCGAGGGGGGAAATTTGATTTTCAAAAAGCCATTGAGAAAACAGTCATGGAGTTTCACATTCCTGGTGGCTATAATTATGCTGGCCCTTGCACGAAACTGGCCAAACGTTTGAAACGCGTGGACAAGCCAAAAAACAGATAAGACCGAATTGCCTTGGATCATGACATTGCCTATAGCAAAGCCAAGAATTTGCAAGATAAATGGAAAGCGGATGACGTCATGATCAAAGCCATTGATCGTTTACCCGGGAAAAATACCATGACCGAGAAAGTCGTCAAGAAAATCATGCAAGCCAAGAAAAAACTCAAATTGTAATCTGCGTGTGTCAATAAACAAAACGTGTGCACACAATGTCTCTGTCTCGTGTTAATATTGTCTAAACTGTAACATGAGCACACTTTAACTTTCCGATTGAAACTTGACCAGACTGCCATCCAATTCTTTGAGGGTGATTTCAATGTCTTCTCAGTGGGGGCTCCATCTTGGGTGTCCACCCTCTATTTATACCCTGACCCAACAACAACAATAACATCACACAGAGAATGCATCTCGAACTTAGTTTATTTCTACATTAAACCTCGCTATCGATTTAATGTTACAACACTTCGACAATGGCGCCCAAAAACCAACGCTAAACACACTTAGCCTATGTACAAAGCTTCAAAAAGAAAAAACGCTATTTATAGCTCTGATAGCATGTCCACCTCGCTTCCGATGCGAGCGTATCCATAGGGATAGGACTTTCGAGTGGCCCTATCGACCACTCGTTTATCGAACACCAACCCATACTTTTTCTCCCTTTCAATCAATCGAATTCTTTTGTTGGTTTGGTCACGGTCAAAGAAATTCTTATCGACCAACGTGATATTTCGCCTTTCCTCTTGGGGGTCATCCAACTCTTTTAAAATGTTATCACGTAAAGCATAAAAATTTAAAAGCAACTTATTTCTGTAGTTCAGAGAAAACCCTCTGACTTTACATTCAACTTTCCCGCCCCTGGTTTCATACCCATAATTTTTCGCCCCACCACTCGCAAATTCAATAATAGGGTCCCCTTCTACTTCGTCCGTAAAATCCCCCAAAAAAACACCCAGGGGAATTTCTCCCTGCCCGGGGCGCCATTTGTAAATCACTGAATCAGTGTCATAATATAACACTCTTTCTTGCAAGGTTTCTAAGGCTGAATACAATTTTAAACGCGCATGAGCCGTGGTGTAGATAGCTATAAACATATTCGTCTTCAGATTTTGCTCTGCTTCTTCCTCTGCTCGAGTGGTTACTACTTCCATGACATCTTCGGTGCAAATCCGAACGCTACTGATGTGATACAAGGGGTCGTTGAGAAGACAGTACAACTGGTGGGCACTCTGAATCACGTGGGTTTGGGGCTTGTTGTTCCTCTCACCAAATTTCCCCCAAAAGCTAGCAAAACAAAATAAACAAACAAATGAATGAGGGATGTTAATATGCAGACTTTGTCTGCATTTTAAGGTAGTTACCAAGCAGACTTTGTCTGCTACTTTTTCATACATCTCCTTCTAATTTTGTGTCAAACGGGAGCTTGCTGTTTTTTCAAAAGAGTGTTTGTTAATTGCAGACTTTGTCTGCAATTTAAATTTGTTATTTGCAGTGTTTTTGAACAATTCATTACCTGTTGAGCATAAGTTTCGCCACTTGTTTTCGGCCTGGATTTTTGGCCACGTGCTCCAGGTGAATGCCCTCTTTCTCGTAGTAATCGCGAATGTAGGCTTGCTTCTCTTCCCTGGACCTACACTCCTCCGGCCAGCCTGCAGATTCCTGCTTTATTTTGAGCCACGTGTTCACGTAGTCAGCAAACAACCCCACCCGTCTGTCTTCTTCCTGGAAATGCCATACTTCATGAATTTTTAATATCTTGTACCCTTTCTCCACGGCTTTCTGTAATTCGATTGTGGCCCACGTCCCTCGGAGCATGCGTTCAGCATCGGTGTGAGGGCAGATATTAGTTCGTTCCAGCCATGGCTTTTGCTGTTCTTGCTCCACACAGGCACGGCAGAGGGGGAACGTTAGCTTATTCCCTGCTCGGTAGGGTAACACGGGATGATAGAGCAATTCCGGGGGCAATATATCCACTTGGGCAATGCCAAAATAATGGTGGATGTCCTGATCCCTGGTGTTGGTATAAATGAGAGGAAAACGGACGGGATATTCCTTGTATTTGTTTACCCAGGGGTAAAGGGAGGTTACGTCTGCATATTTAATGAGGTCAGGCTCTTCTACTTTGCAATGCAAGGTCACCGCCCCGGTTCGTCCTCCATAAAAGGCTTCACGAGGGTTGAGGGGTGGTACCATTTCCAGGGTGTCTAAAAATGCTTTCAATTGGGGGTTGATCTTCTTTTCCTCATTAAACTCACATTCCCAGCATTCTACAAGTGTATACCCTGCTTGGCGCAGCATGGCGGCTTTCTTGAGGGTGGCGTCGTAGACTTCATCAATGGTGCGGTCTTTGTGGCAGTTGTTTTTGGCATGTCGGCCTGATTTGAAACAGCGGGGACAGCCGTGATAGAAGCACCCGTAAAATTCAAAGACGGTGTTTGTTTCTTCATCAAAACCATCGACATAATAACTTTCCGCGGGTGTAAGCACTTGCACCTCACCCCCGTTCCTCACGTGGCGAACACGCCCCATACCACCTCTCTGATGGTCCTGGAAGTACAACCACTCCAAGGCAATTTGACTTTGATTAATATGGTTGCCATGCCACCCGCCATTTGGTTCTAAGGCAATGAGATCCTCTTCTAGCTTTTCCTTACGCCAAAAGTAGTTGCAGGCAGCAGCAATGGTAATGGATTGAATGAGAGGATTAAAGCCAGCAATTTCTTCGAATTCTTTGACAAATTTCAAACAACCTTCTTTTAATAATGCAACATCACTCTCACAATATTTCAGCAGCTCTTCTTGGAAGTTAAAGATGGCGTTGGAGGACACTTGCTGGTTGTACCACGTAAGAAATTTTTCTCGTTTCTTACTGTCCATGCTGTCTGGATCATAATCTTCTTTGGGGGGAAATGGACCAACATAAGAAAAGTTGCATTATTTGTTGAAGGCATGGGGAAACCAACCCTTGTGCAGTTCCGTCAGGTTGAACGTAGCAGGAAATTTTTCGAGTGGCATGGCAAAGAAGTTGAGACTGTCCTTAAAGATGAGATCGCCGCTTTCAAAATACAAAATTTTAGCGCCCACGGTTAATGGCCTTTCCACGGCCCGACCTTGCTCGTAGAGGGCTTCTAAAATAAAATTGCCGTCAAACCCCCTCAAGTTATGGAAAAAGGTAATGACTTTGCGCCCCCTGGCATCGGTCTCCACTTCTGTGAGGGCTTGCAAGACTTCCAAAACTTCTTCCATGGAGTCTGAATGATGTACCTCGTCAGCATCTTCCTCACTCGACCAGCAAATAAGATTGGGGACGAACACACGGTCTTCTGATAGAGCACATTCGATATCGGCAAAGACTAAGATAGGGCGTGGTGGGGGGCCACTGTTTTCGTTCTCGTTATCATCATCCTCACATTGCCATTGTAACGGTTCTTCCAAGGGGTCTTGTAACTCTTGTTCTTGTGGTTCTTTTTCAATAATGGGTTGAATATAACAACGATGGTTCACGTGTTTAAATTCGCCGCAATTGGTACAACACACGTGATAGCATTTGTGCGGCTTTTTAGGATTGAAGGGGTAGTGGGCACAACAGAGAGGACATTTCTTCCATGAATCACACACACTTTGATCTGTTCTCTTGGGACCTTTGGCTTTATGAGCCTCAAAACAGTTTTGTCCGTAAAACATGACGTTACAGTCTGGACAATAAAGGGTGGGTTTGATCCAGGTAGCAAAATTAGGACACGTTTTGTTGGTTCTAGTACACGAATTACAGTTCTGCCCTTCGCAATTATGATGTTGGGCGTCCTGTGTATTGAAACCTCTATCGCAAAGACGACAATAATAGGATCGATTCATAAGGGCAGGAATACTTCTGAGTCCATCGAAATATCCTTGATGTTTTACAAGACCAATGACATGCGGGGCCTGATTATACTGTGCATCTTTAAAAACGATTAAACATTTTGAGGGTTCAACCACGATGAGTTGGTACCCCTGTGGTCCGAGGTAATCTTGGAATTTTTGCAATTCCTCGAACCCGCAGGGGCCTTCGGGAACACCCGCTTCTTGATGGAGGAGACGGGCCCAACGTTCTTGAATCGGTCTTCCACGTCTCAGATTTTGGTAATGGGACCCCTTATCCACTCTTTCTTTCATGGTGATGATTGCTTTTGCGCAACACAAGTCATCTTTGTTTTGGATTCTTATGATACATTTCTTTTTCTTTGCGATCTTTTCCCAGGCAATTCGTCCAGGGTTGTTTCGTTTGAAAGCTCCACCACGTCCCAGCCTTTTCACAAATGTGAGTTCCACAAAGAAACCATCTCTTTCTGGATCCACGACTTCCGCTGAATTTAATTTCCGCGCTAAATCTTCTAAAAAGGCGCGAGCGTAGTCTTGATTACTTAGCCACTCGTTTAAAGGTACATGACGGGCAGATTGACTCCAGACATGAGTAAATGAATTGGAATGAATGGCCACCAGTAACGAGTAATCGGCAGGATTGATTTGTTCCTGGGTTACCACTCGCTGTAAACCTTGTCTAATAGCTTCTGTAATGGCTTCCCCGAGTAGTTCGTTGTCGCCCGCAGTTCTCAATTGCTGAAACGTTAAACGAAATCTTCTCTGTTCTACTATACTACGAAAGGACCTGTTTCTCCCGACTGCTGTAAATATGGCACGAAAAATGGGATTCCCTCCCATTTGGTCGAATCTACGGGCTGCGGCTAACAGGACATCACTGTCTTCTTCAAGAAGATCTAAAAAATATAATTTAACGCAAAGTTCATGTCGCAATCCCTTCAAGACAGTTCGCTACAGTTGATATTCCCACTAGTCTTTGTAACAGCCAATGGGGCGAGGTGGTTATCCCTTCAGTCTCGTCTATTTTAGCTCACCACCCTTCAAGACAGTTCGCCCCGTTGCATATTCCCACTAGTCTTTGTAACAGCCAATGGGGCGAGGTGGTCATCCCTTCAGTCTCGTCTATTTTAGTTCACCACCCTTCAAGACAGTTCGCCCCGTTGCATATTCCCACTAGTCTTTGTAACAGCCAATGGGGCGAGGTGGTTATCCCTTCAGTCTCGTCTATTTTAGCTCACCACCCTTCAAGACAGTTCGCCCCGTTGCATATTCCCACTAGTCTTTGTAACAGCCAATGGGGCGAGGTGGTCATCCCTTCAGTCTCGTCTATTTTAGCTCACCACCCTTCAAGACAGTTCGCCCCGTTGCATATTCCCACTAGTCTTTGTAACAGCCAATGGGGCGAGGTGGTCATCCCTTCAGTCTCATCTATTTTAGCTCACCACCCTTCAAGACAGTTCGCCCCGTTGCATATTCCCACTAGTCTTTGTAACAGCCAATGGGGCGAGGTGGTTATCCCTTCAGTCTCGTCTATTTTAACTCACCACCCTTCAAGACAGTTCGCCCCGTTGCATATTCCCACTAGTCTTTGTAACAGCCAATGGGGCGAGGTGGTTATCCCTTCAGTCTCGTCTATTTTAGCTCGCCACCCTTCAAGACGGTTCGCTACCGTTGACTTTTCCCCATAGTCTTTAACACTTACTATGGGGCGACGTGGTTATCTCTTAAAAGCTTATTGAGGGTGTCCAACGACGTGCTACGCGTCTTCTCCTATCTAGTTCAACTTACAATGAACGCCTTCAGCAGCTCAGTCTTCTCCCATTGGTGTACCAAAGAGAAGTTAAAAACATAACAACATTTATAAACTGAAGTGTGGTTACTATACCTATTCAGTTGAAAGATATTTTGAATTTTTCACAGATAAAAGATTAAGGTCATATTCTAGTAATAAGTTCAAGATTAACAACGTCAGTACCGAATTATTCAAAGGCACTTTTTCAATAGATTACCATATTTATGGAACAACCTGCCTGATAAACTCAGGACCTCTAATTTAAGCCTATCATTATTTTAAAAACAAAGAAGAGCTTCGACCCTGACTACCCGCATGCCACTTGGATGTAGTAATCGATGTAACAATTATTTTCTGATTAGATTAATCTAGGATATGACATATTATCAATTATAGTTTTTTTTTTTACATTTAAGATATAATTTTAATGTTTTCTTTTTTCTTTATTTAAGTGTCTGTTGTAGTTTTTGGGTGGACTAACTCGAATGGTTCTTATGTTCCCTTCTAGTCCTACCCCACTGCAATAGTTTTTTCCTAGTACGTAGTTAATTGTTCTCTTATGTAATTTAGCCAAGTTCTTTTTGCAGTGAAAGTGGAATAAATTAAATTACATTAACTCAAAGCAATGAGGCATCACAGTTTTCAAATAACTCTTGTTACAACCAATTACTTACCGTCAATCTCGCTGTCAAACGCTTGATGATTCATTCTTGTCGATTTGATCACCTATCAACCGCAACTGCTTTTCGCTGAATGAACAGCTATCGCTCACTGGGCGCAATTTATGTCCACAAGAGCTTTGACCTTTGAGCAGAATTTGCATACAACTCACCCGAGCGTACAGCATTGACGTCACACGATGTTCATTTCGCTAAGCTAGGAAAGTTCTATGACGTTTTTTATCTTGCCTAGTCATTTCGCGGACGTGCTACCCTGCACGTCTTCTATTTTCTCACGTTTTTCTACATAATCTCTTACTTTAAGTCACGTTTCGTTTCCTTCAATCTTGCACTTAACTTCTGTTCCTTTTGTTTTAAAGTAATTACTGTGCCATCTTGTTGAACTCAATTAAAACGCAATCTTCGTTTCTATTCAGGTCATTAATCCGCTATGTTGCTATTGTTTTTCCTAGATTTGAAGTCGTGCTAGTGTGCACGTTTTCCTAGGGCACAGAAGGTCACGGCGTTTGTCCTTGGATTTTTTATTCGTGATAAACTGCACGTTTTCAATATTCATTGTAGCTGTTTTTCCCGCTTCAAGCTATTTTCCCGCTTTTTCCCTACAACATTTATTTCATGTTGTTTTTGCTTTCTCCCTAGTCAATAACTTTTCACTGTTTTTTTTTTTTTTTTGCAATGTGCTTTCTTTATTCACGACCTTACATTACAAATAGGACGTATAAGCCACCGACTGTGACTTGCCTAAAATTCTTCAAATACACGCGGATACATGACAAAACATTTTAGTTGCATCTGAGCTTTTTGGAACGGTGTTGCGTTCATATATTTCCAATACCCAGAATCTGTGATGTCGTCCATACATAGTTTTAAACTCACGATGCGTACACAATGTGTACACAATTCATCGTCTGCTGTGTTTTTCCAAAGCGTAAATTGGCACAATTGTCTGTGTTTTAATTCTTCTAAGGTCGTTCTGGAAATATATAAAAGCAACAGCGTTTTACAAGTTTAATGCACTTCGGGAAACCTCCTGTTTAACCGTTCAAGTAATTCTTCGGGATACTCGTCAGGGTTTTGAAATAACACATCTCTGTCAGGAATAGCACTGTACACTCTAATAAATTGCCTATTGGCTTCAATAGGGTCAAAATCATTATCATATCTTTTTTTTAATTTATTTATTTATTTTTTTTTTGCAATGTGCTTTCTTTATTCACGACCTTACATTACAAATAGGACGTATAAGCCACCGACTGTGACTTGCCTAAAATTCTTCAAATACACGCGGATACATGACAAAACATTTTAGTTGCATCTGAGCTTTTTGGAACGGTGTTGCGTTCATATATTTCCAATACCCAGAATCTGTGATGTCGTCCATACATAGTTTTAAACTCACGATGCGTACACAATGTGTACACAATTCATCGTCTGCTGTGTTTTTCCAAAGCGTAAATTGGCACAATTGTCTGTGTTTTAATTCTTCTAAGGTCGTTCTGGAAATATATAAAAGCAACAGCGTTTTACAAGTTTAATGCACTTCGGGAAACCTCCTGTTTAACCGTTCAAGTAATTCTTCGGGATACTCGTCAAGGTTTTGAAATAACACATCTCTATCAGGAATAGCACTGTACACTCTAATAAATTGCCTATTGGCTTCAATAGGGTCAAACTCATTATCATAGCTTTGAAATTTAATCCAGTCATCAATCAGAAGGTTAAACACCCCTTATCTGCAATCGCAGTGACATTTTACGTCGGTATACGCCCAAAGAGTGAAAGGGCAACAGGGGGCACATTTGATTTGACAAAGGGATTTTCTAGAAAAGATAAAGGAGAAAGTCACTTTCATTAACAGAGTTCTTCCACTGAAAAACCTACGGGTCTAGAATACAATTTATTATACAATCACTTTCTTTCTGCCAGTTAATGTGTTGTCCTTTCCATGCCATTCTTAACCCGTCTAGTGTTAAATTCAGTTTAAAAATGCGTTCACATTGTCCGCAATCGGAAAAGGTCAACCAACTACTAAAGGGGCAATACATTGTTTTTTTCCAATGTCTTAGTTCCTGGACAACGCGTCTACAATAAAAATAAAACGAAACACTACATTGACAACCATAAAACAATTAAACTTGCAGACCAATTTAAATCTTTACACATTTCTATCCTTTCACAGGATGCCCTAAATAAGATTGAGAAACCACTTTGTGAATGAATGTGACCAAGAAACATCAAGCACAAGTTTCAAAAAGGTTAAGAACATGTCTAAAACAAAGCAATCAACTTCTTACATTTAGTTTACAAAATTTACATATAACTGAATATACAGGAAAAAGTTTTCAGGTTTTTTCCACGATGCAAAGGTTTCCATGCAGGTGTTCACGAAGCCACAAAAAATATAGACTGGCCATCGTTCTTTGTCCGTGTCTCTGTAGGCTTCTATTAATTTTAGCGTAGTTCTATAGTGGATAATTGACAAGAAATATTTTCATAAATAGTGGTAGGTCCAAATCTCTTAACAATCTAAGATTCATGAGGGTTTTTCTATGAACAAACAAAACAAAATTTCAGTACTTAACCCACTTTACACTTTACACATTTGCACCCTCCAACAGAATTTGTAACGCTTTATAAATTCGCATCCTCCAACGACGCGGCTCGAATCAAGGCACAGCGAATGAGATAATCGCGTACAAAAATCCAGTTAATGTGGGTAAACGTCTTTCTATAATTGCAAACCAAACATTACTGTAAGCGACCAGTGCACTTTTTTTTTTCAATAGCTTTACATTCCTAAGCGTACTAACAGCGCCACGTGGCTAGGAAACAAACTCCATGTCCAGTTCAAATCTTCTACCTCCTTAAATTCTTGCATCACATACCTGAATTTTTTGGCGTGTTCTTGTTGCCATTTTTTTCTGTTGTCTGTGAATTCTTTCTCTTCCAGTTCTCTCCTCACGCTGTGCCAGGGCGGCAGGAACTGGCGGGCTGTCTCGCCGGGGTTCTGTACAGCGTTTAGCGCGAGCTGCTGTAAAGTACCAGGACTTGAGGGTTCACGAGGTTCTCGGAAGTTCAGCTGCGGAAGTGGTTTTAATGGCGAAAACGAACGTGCCATCGTAGACAATTTTTGACGAATCTCAACAGCTACCGAAAACAACTTACTCAAGGAGCAGCCTTATGCGAAGTGACGCTTCGTTTTAGCTACCTTGCTATACATAAAACACACTTTTACTCGATCATTGGTTCCTTTCGTTTTCCCTTGGGTTCTCCATCGTTCTGATTTGTTCGCCTTGTTCCATGTGCTCCTACCACACCCTTACCCTTTCCATATCGCACATGTTCCCTATTGTTTTACACCATTTCGC